TCCCTCCATTTCCAATTCACACTTCTTCTCTTTTAAAGCCCAATGGCTTAAAGTCCAACAAATAGTTCAACCAATTATGAACTTTTCTTCCACTGAGGATGAAAAAATTGAATGCATTAATAATTAGCATGGAAATTCTTACATTCTTGGGATTAAAGAATATATTGCAAATAATGGGAATGTTCGCTTTTCTTAAGTGATTAAAAAGGACTATATGGAGATAAACCACCCTGTGACTAAAGCCACGATTAAGATAAGGACTGAAAATCGCAAGAGAACTTAATCAACTCTGCTTGATGTTAGCATCTACTCACAAAAAATGTTATTGATGCTTGCACAAAATAATATTCACGAATTCTCATATGATAATGGATTTGCAGGTTGCTGCTGGAAAGCTTCAATAAGGTGGACTTATCTAACATCTTCAGGAAGGGAATCAACTTGCAATCTGCTTAGCGTATGTAGTAACTTTGTAGGGAAAAATATTGTACCATGATTCTTCCCCTAATTTTATTAATGAACTTTTTTGTAGAAGACCAGAAAATAACTTAAGAATTAATATAGTAAATTTGTGGAGAAAATTGTGAGAGCAGCGTTGGTTCAAGATCAAGATAATATATATCGACAGAAAAAAAAAAAAAAAAAAAAAAAGGCAGCCCGGTGCACAAGACATCCCGCCTTCACGCAAGATCCGGGAAAGGGTTGCACTCCAAGAAGTGTGATATAGTATACTCTAATGTCGTAAGTATTAGTGACTGCTTCCACGGCTCGTACCCGTGACCTATAGACAGTATAAAATTATGAATAAAATAACCTGAAAGAAAGGTCTTTGCTAACTACCAAGCGAAACAAGGGAAAAAACAATTCTAAGTCAGCATTCTTGAACTTCAACACCATATCATAGGCCTAAAACATCCTGAACGAACTAAATATGGACAACCAAAAGAAGAAGATAGGAAATTTCAACAATTCTAATCCAAGCTCTGAGTTCAAAAGGTTTCTCTTACTGGCGTTGGCCACCAATTTTGGGTAATTGGTAACACTTGTAACCATGGTACTTGTTCTTCTGGCAGATCCGACAGCTCGGATATACAAAAACGGGTAGAGCTTTCCACTTCATCTGTTCGTATGTTGTACACGACAACACGATAATTACTTACACGAAAACAAATAAGATCCTCATTATATGGGTGAAAAGCTAGTACAGAAACTAGGTGTACGATATCACGACTGAAGTGAGAGGACTCTTAACGCCTTGTTTGTAGGGACTCTCTTGTACACCAATGTCCATTCCCCCGTTTTGTAATCCTCAAGCTTCCATACACTTATACAGGGGCATCCAATTGATTCCAAACTTATTTGAGCAAACAGTAGACGACCTCGACACACTCCCAAATTGCCAGACCAAAGAATGTCGTGAACCTTAAGTGGTAAATCAAGAACGCGTAGAAGTTGAGCATCAGGATCATTAGTGAATGGATCAAACGCGACAATACAATTACGCGTAGCACTAATTCCATAATTCAATGTATATAACATCCGTCCACAAGCAATAACCGGAGTCTTAAAACTCAGATTATTCAAAATCCATGGAGACATAGCAACAAATTTGGTCCATTTTCCCTTATCAGACGAAAATATCTCGACATCAAACCTTAAATTCCTTGAATCACAAGGAATAAATCGTAACACCAGATACTTATTGCGCCGATCATCATTATCCAAAGGCTCATACAAGAACCCAACACTCTCACCAAAAATCCCTTTTGTTGACAGAGTTGGAGGAAGAACAATCCATTGCTTAGTGAGAATGTTACAGATGCAGTAATTCACAACAGAGTATTTACTTCCACCAGAGAATAATATTAAGTCACCACATGATGCTTCTAGACTAATTAAATGATCATCGGGCCGACCTGCGTTGAGAAACCCTAATTCCACACGCCTTGATAAACCCTTACCATGCAAAAACTCTTCATATCCTACGTAGTTTTTTCGATTATATAAAACAACAGTAAAGGGGAGCGTAGTTTTATCATTATTGCGATTGTGAACGGAAGAGGTTGTCGCGAAGTAATCAGAGGAGATTGGAGAAAGCCAGCGTTTGCAAACCAATTTGCAACGAATTGCTTCTTTGATGCTTGTTAGTCTGATGAGGACTTCATTAAGGAGTTCGTCCGTCAGATTATTGAAAATAAATAGTGACTTTTTCTTGCGACGAACCTGCAACTTGCGGCTTCTTGATTTTGAATCTACCATTGACACAGCTCCTGAGGTAATATTGGCCCATCTCCGTTAATATATATATAGTGGCAGATTCCCTATTGCACTGGGAGAAGGGAAGGCGGTTTTTAATCAATTACGTTGTATACTAGCTAGTACCTACGGTAGTATTTTCCTTTTGTGGTTCAAAAAATTTACTATCGAATGTTAGAAAAATACTACTGCTATTATTATAATTGCTAGTTTCTCCGCAAGTTACATTCTACTTGTATATCGCGTCTTGTAGTAAATGGTGTTGTAAAATAATTTATTAAAATGAAGTCTTAAACAAATAAATATACATGAAAGAATAAATTACAAGTTTTTATGAATTATCAATATGGATCTTCATAGATGATGACTTATTTGTTGAGGTCAAATGGTTAAAAAAAAATTATATGTACCTAAAATATAATAACTGTATAAATCAAAGTCCCACTACTTAAATTTCATCTACCATAAATACTCAACGGGTAAATTTTACAATTGGTCATATAACTATGACTTTTTTTTATCAAAGTCATATAACTTTGTTTTCTCACACAAAAATCATAAAACTTTCACTAACCCACATAAAAATTATAATGACCGAAAAATATAATTTTTCGGTAGTGTTTTCTCAACCATGTGTAAGCATATAGATTTTATTGGATTTAAATTCATACAATAATTTAGACCATATTAAATTCAAGATATTAGTCCAAACAAATATTGTGGCTAGTAAATTGGGCTAATTATTAAAAGCCAATATATGTGTTGGGCTAGTCCATTTAATTAGACTATAAATTAAATGATAAGCCCACTTCAGTAGCGCAGGGTCCAAATGGCTATTTGCCCGTCTTAAAGCCCAGGCCCGTGCCACGTGTCAAGTGATGTGACAATCCAAGTCAAAAGAACGAGCCAACAAAATCATACCATGTGTCAAGTGATGTGACAATCCAAGACAAGTAAATGAGCCAATGAAATCATGACATGTGTCAAGTAATGTGGCAATCCAAGCCAATTAAATCATGCCAAGTGTCGGGATAGTATTGGTCAGTTCAAACGGACCAATCAAATCGCAGAACCATACCACTCCCTACAACTATAAATAGAGGTCTTCATAAAGCTAGAAGACACCAGAAGTGATAACAAGAAGCAAGCAGAGAACTCGTGGATCAAACACCGCAGATTTCTCTACAAGCTACAAGTTCAAGCACTCAAGCTACAAGTTCAAGATCAAGAACAAAGCCAAATCAAATACCAAGGCGTTCAAGATCAAATTACTTGTTCATGATCAAACCCAAATTCAAGTTCAAGGAGAAGATTCAAGATCAAGCTTTACAAGCCCTTGAATCAAATCAAAATCAAGTTCATCAAGATACTTTACATTCTTGAAGAATCAGAGGAATACTATAGAGATTGTAACACTTTCATTTATTGAAATCAAATACTACATTTGTTACGCAATTTTTCAGTCTTAATATTTTATTTTTCTCGACGCGAAAATTTGTTGTTACAAATTTCTAGCACGCCCAGTGGGACAATATCTACCTCCCATCTCTTCAAATTACCAAATTTTAAGAACACATAAATGGATCCTAAGAATATCAACTTCAAACTCACTACTGCAAAGGCTACGGATTCCAAGTTTTCATCTAATGTGGAAAACTTGTTGGATGCTACTATGGAAAGCGTAGGACCAGTCACTAGGAACAAAGCAAACTTGCTGGGACAAAAAGCATTTCAAATGATGTCTACATCGGTTCCTATCTTTGATTTTCAATCCTCAAAGGGGGCAAGATCATTTCCAACTGAATTGGAAGAAGGAGCAAACATTGCTAAAATTGTGTAAAAGACATTGGCTCTACTTAGCCCTTCTAGATCTAAGAATCTCATCACACATGGCGATGATGATGTCTTGATCATTGGATCTGCTCTAAGCACTCCATGTGAGTTGTTCCACTCAAAGTATGGTGTAAGAGAAAATCCGTGATTTGCTCCATCATCCACGACGGTTATCCAAGCAATGGTGACTAGTACCTCAACTGTTGAAGAACAACTCGCAAATTTAACAAAGGCAATTGAAGGGTTAACGAAGCATATTCAAGATCAAGATAATCAAATTGTCAAGCTAACAGATAGAGTTGGAAGCATGATGGAGGGAGATTTAAGTCATGCACCTGGAAACCTCCCGATGATGCAAGATAAAGGAGACTCATCTGCAAGGCAGACAACGCCTCTTAAGGAATTTCAGATTTCATCTGACGGGGTTATTCCCATTGACCAATTGAAAAACTTCATTATGGGAACCATCAAAGATAAGTACGATGTTGCTACCAAGTTTTTTGTCGCATATGCAAAGCCATACACTGCGAGAATTGATAGTTTGAAGATACCTGCAGGTTATCAACCCCCAAAGTTTCAACAATTTGATGGTAAAGGAAATCCGAAGCAATACATTGCACACTTCGTCGAAACGTGTAATAATGCTGGAACCTATGGAGATTATCTTGTCAAGCAGTTTGTCTGTTCCTTAAAAGGAAATGCTTTTGATTGGTACACTGATCTCGAGGCTGGTTTCTTCGATAGCTAAGAGCAACTTGAACATGAATTTCTCAACCACTTCTATAGCACAAGGCGAACCGTAAGCATGGTTGAACTCACAAATACGCGTCAATAGAAGGATGAACCAGTTGTCAATTTCATCAATCGATGGAGGAATGCTAGCCTCAATTGTAAAGACAGACTTAGTGAAGCTTCTAGAATAGAAATGTGTATCCAAGGAATGCATTGGGGACTTCGCTAAATCCTACAGGGTATCAAGCCTAAGTCTTTTCAAGAATTGGCTACACGTGCTCATGATATGGAGCTAAGTATGTCTTCAAGTGGAAATCAAGGGCCACTTGTTTATGAACCTCGCAAAGTGAAGGATAAACAAGAAATAAAGAAAGGAGGCAAGTTTTTGCCGAAGTCTGAGAGCAAGGAATCAATGAATGTTAATGCCTCGCCATTAAAGGTCACTACAAAAGTGAGTAAGAAGAAAAGTGTGAAGACAACATTCGTACAGGATAAGGTTGGCCGAAAGTTAACTCTGAAGGAAATGCAAGCGAAAGAATATCCATTCATGGACTTCGATGTCCCAACAATTTTTGAAGAACTCCTTGAGTTAAAACTCATTGAGTTACCCGAAATGAAGCGGCCAGATGAAGCTGGAAAGACTATTGAAAAGTGCTTTGTCTTCAAAGAGAAAGTCATGGACTTGGCCGCTGAAAGAAAAATCTTGCTTGAGGATGAGAAAGATAGTTCGAATCAAGTCTCTTTCATTTTTGGTTCACTTGATCCCATTGTCCTTTGAAATTTTGTCGAAGTACATGAATGTGATGACATCTAAACTGCATCATCACCAAATATGATTAAATTTGGTGACTTTGAACCTATCGATGTGAGCAAACCAGTGCTTCTCCCTATGACGTATAAACTAATAGTGGAGGAAAGATCTCAAGAGAAAGGTGAATCACATGATGATCAAACTGATGATGAAGGTTGGATTCTTGTGACTCGGTGGAGACGTTGCAAGACAAATTCACAAAGGGAGTCAAATAAGCAGTTGACTAGGGTGGAAATGGTGAAAAGACCCAAGAAGAAAATGATAAAGAAGAATTGGAAGAAAGCAAAAATGGCAGAGAATCACTATCAAAGGTTCCTTCATCCAGTGACATTGGAGGAATTTCTGCCAAGCTGGTTACACCTGCGAGCTTCCTGTGAATATATCAAGGCCTCATGTTGTAAGATAGATGAAGAAGAGACAAAGAAGGAGGATCCATCATTGCTGCCACCTCCCTTGCCTGAAAAACTCACTGGTAATTCTGAAGAAGTGGACGTTTGTGATGCAAAAATCACATTTACTAATGATGATCTTTTGATTGGTGAAACACGCCATAATTTCCCCCTATTTATGGTTGGCTTTGTACGATAACAGAGAATAAGTAGAATCTTGAGCGATGATCTAGTGTCAATATTCTCCCAATTCGTACTGTCAAAGATCTTGCATACTGATGGATGAACTATGTGAAAGTCATTTGATGATTCAAGGGTTCAATCAAGGGGGGAAAAGAGCTATAGGGGCTATCAAATTGGAAACAAATATGGGAGATTTGCATTCAAGTGCATGGATGCACGTGATCGATGCAAAAACCTCATATAATATCTTGTTAGGAAGGTCATGGATACACGAGAACAAAGTGGTTTCATCCATCTACCATCAGTGCTTGAAATACTGCGAAGGTGGGGTCGAAAAGAAGATAGTTGTTGATGATAAGCCCTTTACCGAGGCTGAATCATACTTTGTCGATGCAAAATTCTGCTTAAAGAATTACATCTCAAAGGAGGTTAAGGTTGATGATGATATAGACCAAAAGTGTTGCAAAGAAGGTTGATGCAATGACTAACAAGGAAAAAATTACAGTTGAAAAAGATTAGGTGATTCATGATAGGAACAATATGAATGAGGCATCTTCAAGTAAGAAAGTGACTCCTGTTCTTCACTACATCCCAAAGGCAAGGAAAGTCGAAGATCCATCTTCTGAACTACAAGGTAAGGTTTTAGGAGACTTGACCCTTCCTATCAAGCGAATTGATGCAATTAAGTCATCTACAAAGTTGCTTAAAGGGTTTGTCAAATCATCAAGCCATAATTCGTTTCTAAATCTAGCACTTCCTGCAAAGCACACAAATGAGGGCTTTGACCCAAACACCTACAAGTTGTTGGCAAAAGCTGGATATGATCCCAACGAACCATCCAAGTTGAGAAAGCTCCCGCCTGAAGCTCCAAACCCTACTCAAAGGATGATGATGGAGAAAGGGTACCTACTGAAGCAATCAAGTGAAGGATTGGGTAAGAAACAACCCCCCGCCAATCCATATCTCCATTAAAAGGGCAAGTTGTAACTACATTACTGCTGAAGAAGTGTCTACGACGCTTAATAAGAAGCCTTCTGTGTTTGATCGACTTACGA